CCCCGACCCACTTGCCGGTGGCGAACAGGGTGGCCCCCACGTAGGCCACGGTGCCGCGGTGCCCCTTCCCGATGACCTCCACGCGGGAGCCCACCTTGAGGGGCCTGCTGCCGCCTTCTGCGCTCATCCTGGGGGTGCTGGAGGCCTGTGGAATCAGAACAGGGTGACAACGGGGACACAGGGACGGACGAGGGATGTCTCACCGTCCTCCAGCAGCGCGGCTTCTCTGGGCAACCTGTGCCAGGGCCTCCCCACCCTCACAGTTTCTCTCCAATATCCACCTCAATTTCCCCTTTCCCAGTGTGACGCCATTCCCCCTTGTCACTCCATCCTGTGAGCCCCTTCCCTGCTGTCCTGGAGCCCCTCCTCAAACTCTGACACCTTTCACACCCAGTGCCCCCATCCCAGAGGCAATGGGGGTGTTCCCTGTTCCCCTCAGCTCTGTCTCCCACTCACCCCGACCTCCCCATGGTCCTCAAACGGGGCCAGTTCGGCATTTCCCACACCCTGTGTGTCACTGGTTCTGCTCATTGTGCAGAAATGTCAAGTTTTGCCCACTCAGGGCCCAATTTCAGTGGAAGAATCCATCCTTTATCCCAGGAAAACAGAGGCTCTTTCACCCAGCACAGCGGGGAACGGCTGAGAAGGGCCCTGAGGAGCTGAGGGATGTAGGGACAAACCTCAGCCACAGCTGGACACCACAGGGGGTCTGGGAAATTCGGGGAATTCTCAGCCTGTGGAAGAACCAAGAGGATTGTGGAAGTTCCTGGAACCCCGACAAACCATCCTCTCCCCTTTCATGTCCCTTCCCAGGGTAGGAATGCTGAGTGAACTCCACGTGTTCGGGGAGTTCTTTGCCTAAAACCAGGGATGCCAGTTTTCCACAAGCCTGAATTCCATGTTCCATCCAAATACAACTGGGAGAAACCAAACACAACTGGGAGAAACCAAACACAACCGGGAGGAACCAAATGCACAAAATACTCTCGTGTTAAAACCCGAAATCCATCACCCAGCAAACAAACCCAGAACCTCAAAGGCAAAATTTCTGCCCCAGACCCAAATGTCTCCCCAGGTTCTGGCTCCTCCCAGCTGCCAGGGCTGCAGCAGCATCCTGCCAACACCTGCACCTGGAAAATCATGTCCCACCTGTTATGGAAAGTGAGAGCAGGGCCCCGAAACAATAAGAAGCCCAAAGAGAAGTCCAGAGGAAAAGCCAGAATTCCTAGTTAAATGAAAAGTTCCTGCTCAGCCACATCAGAAGTTTTCATCCCTCCTCGTTTCTGTTTCCCAGGGGTACCTGCAGCCAGGTAGGATCCACTGGAGTGTGAGACACCCCAAGCCCTGTGGATACCTCTGTCCGTGGGAAGCCATTCCCAATCGTCCTGTCCCTCCATGCCTTGTCCCACGTCCCTCTCCAGCTCTCCTGGAGCCCCTTCAGGCACTGGGAGGGGCTCTAAGGTCCTTCTTCCCTCCAAGGTGGACATTCCAAACTCAATTCACCCCTGTCCGGCTGTGGAGGGAGGAGCAGGGGGGACAGCCAGCCCTGAGGACATCAGGGCACAGCAGCCCGAGGGCAGCCAGGGACACAGCCCACAACTTCCTGGGGTCTCCGGGGATGTGCCGGCTCCTCATGGATCCCCTCTGCCACTCTGACCTTCCAGTGGGACACCCCAGGCTCTGGATGGTGGGGATGGGGCAGCCAGGGGAGTCCCCAGGAATGCTGAGCCTCCAAAGCAGCCAGCACCACCTGGGCAGATCCCAGCAGGACAGTCCCAGGCTGGATAAACCCACCAGCCCGGGAGGAGCCTGTCCCACACCCCGGAGCTCCTGTGCTGCTCCAGGGACACCTGCTCCAGGGGAGGAACACGCCCGGGGCTGTGCTGCCACCAGGACACTGCTCCCCACAACACACCGCCTGGCACTGCTCTGAAATCCAGATGTTTCAATTTTCCCCACTTTTTGAAGCATGACACACATCCACAGACAGTCTGCTCCTCTGTGTGGAGGTCCTGGTTGTGAGCCACTGAAAAGGGGATGAATTCCCAGCGATTTGGCTCATTCCCGTGTTTCCTCTGAGCATGACGGTGTCAGTGCTCTGCTCCATCACAGCGGATCACCCTGGGAATATCCAGTGTATTCCTGCAGCAGCCAGGCTCAGCTGGCAGGTGAGACTAACTGAGCCTCAAACTGTCACTCAGAGCTCAGATCAAAAGTTTCAGGAGAATCCTGAGCCCAGCAGCCACCTCCGACAAGATCCAAATTCCAGGTGTGACCCAGCATGGTTGGAACAGGGAAAGACTTGGAAACAGTTCTGGGTCTAAGCCTGGACAAAAACCTGGTCTAAACCACAACAAGCAGCGAGTCAATGGCACATGGCACTGCCACACCACCCCCATGGGAAGGAGGATCATCCTGGGACTGAGAGTGGCCCCAGCACCCCACGGTGGCACCAGGATGAGGTTCCCACCACCACGGTGGCACTGGATTCCAGCTGGGGAGCACAAAGCCAAACGGGGAGGGTGTGGGTGTCTCTGGACACTGTGACATCGGGCACACTGTCCCCAAAACCCTCCAGGCACACGGCCAGGGCAGTCAGTGGCTCCAGCCCCAGGAAGGGCTGGCACAGCCTCAGTGCCTGCAGTGCCCATTCCAAAATCCACGTGAGGTAAACACGGATGACCTGCTCACAGTGCCCTGCCTGCAGTGTGCCACCTTGCCCTGGGACCCACCCAGCACCCCCAGGATCCCTCAGCACCCCCGGGATGCCCCAGTCCTGCCGCTGCTCCCACAGGTCGAGCCATGTCTCCATGGGCTCTTGGAGCCAGTGCCCAGCTCCTTCCCTGCGCCCCCACCCCCCGGGAGCCCCCGAACCCCCAGCACACCGACAGCCACTGCGGTGTCACCACAGAGCTGCCAGGACTCAGGCTGGAATTCCACCCCCTTCACCCCACTCCCCATGGAACACGGGGAGCTTTGGGGGGCAGGCAGCTCAAGCCCCCCACAGCCCCTCCCAGGGTGGGCAAAGCAACTTCCCAGCCCGGAGCCTTTCTCAGGTGGCAGCCAAATCCCCTGAGCCACAGCTCCAATCCCACCGGCTCCAGGCCTGGCACATCCCACAGCGGGCAGAGCCGTGTCAGGGCACGGTGCCCACGGGGAGCCCGGGGGTCCCACGGAGCGGTGGGAAGGGGCTGCCCTCCCCGGCTCCAGCCTGCAGTCCCCGTGCCAAGTTGGCACAGAGAGGCCCAAGCGTGCTGCCGGTGCCCCGCGGGCC